TATGAAATTAGAAAAGTGTTATTGTGTTGTTTGAATGGGGTTTGGAGTATTTGGAAATTGGGAGTGTTTTGCAATTCACTTGATTTGTCAATGTCTAATGTTTAGGGAAGCTCTTGCAGTTTTTCTGTAGGGTTTTCCCCAAAATTAATTTTTAAAAAAAAAAAAAAAAATACTTACTTGTTAAACTTTGTGAATATTTAAATCACTTCTTATTCATACTAGGATTTTCTGATTTATATGTTAAGTTAGACAAATGCCTCCGCATCCAATGTACATCTGCCGTCGGAGCTCTCGGGACTGGGCGGAGGGTGTTACAACTCAGGTCTCGACAAACTCAATATTGGAGCTGTGGTTTCCTTTCTTTTGACTTAGAGTTTCTTTTTTTTTTTTTTTTTTTTTTTTTTTTTTTTTTTTCCATTGCGCTTCAATGTTTGCAATCATCTGTTTCTTGATTATAATCTTCTTTTGGTTTCTTTATTATTTCTTAAAGGTGTTTATAGGGAAAACCAATTATTTTGGAATGCGTTAGAGAAGAACAGCAGAGGATTACTAGGCACTTAAAAGAAAAGAAAAGAAATTATTTGATAATGTTATGTATCTTTGGAATTAAGCTAAAGTTCTATTTAAAAACCATAAATTCTCAACTTTATCGACACAAAACAATAAACATAGTTCTAAATTTTAATACCATCTCTCAAAGTAAGTCTGATACTTATTTAAATTATCTAATTAAATTCAAAATTAACCCTAAGGTCTAATTGGTATGTAGACTTTTGATTTATTGTAAATCAACTAGTCAAAATTTTGTTTGATAGACCACTTGTATGTGTTTTTTCTTGGAATAAAGCACAATTTGCTTCTTGAACTTGAAAGCAATATTCAGCTTGCCTAAAAACTAATTTTTTGCAATTTACCCTCTAAACTTGCACAAAAAAAAAAAAAAAAAAAAAAAATACACCAAAAAAAATACAATGCTCAATTTATTACTCAAAAGAATTTTAATTAAAATCAAATCAAAATATAATTAAAAATAATAAAATAATTCATTTAAATCAAATACAATTAAGAAATAATTAAAAAAATAATAAAATTTTTTAAACTAAATATTCATATAATCAAATATTTTCTTATTAAATCCAACATTTCATTTTAGTTATTTTTTAAATCAAAGATAAGACACTTTAATTTTTTCATCATTATTGTTATGTCTTTAAACAATTTTTCTTTTCTTAATTTTAAATTTTGTAAATAATTTTTATTACTTAAAAATATTAAAAAATAATTTTTTATGAAAAATTGAGTGTTTTGTTCTTTTAGTGCAAGTTCAGTTTTCATGATAAATTATAAAAAAAACTGATTTTTGGGCGAACCGAATATGACTCTCAAACTGAAATAGCAAATTCAGCTTTATTCTTTTATTTCTTTACTAAATTTTTATCTCACCAGGTTTTTAATTTGGTTTGCAGGAAAGCGTGGCACTGAGAAGACAAATTTTCAGCTTCTTGATTTCTTCAATTTTTATTTCAACAGGTTGTTATTAATTTGTGCTTTTTTTCAATAATTAAATGCAATAAAAGTTAAATAAAATTTATCCAATATAGTCTTTTTTTAATACATTTTAAGATGATGATCTGCAATTTAGATTATTTATATATTATAACATTTAAAAATTTTTAAATTCTAATTTAGCAGAAATACTGGAAGTGTGAAATTATAATATATGGCTATTTAGTATCTTTTTCATTTTCAATTTTAATATACTAAAGCAGAAACAAAGAGACAAGTTGAAAAATTATATCTTTGTTTAATATTGTATTTTTATTAAAAATTTATGGAATTTGATTGGTATATTTTTTAAATACTGATTATATATATAATAATATCATTATATTGCCAATCAGTTAGTGGTCTAATTGGTGTACTTGTTATGTAAGCAGTGAGAGATTTTGAGTTCGAGTACTCTTAACCAGTTTAAGGGCTACTCCTATTGTATAAACCGTAATGTTATTTTGAGCCGAGTACTCTCGACCAATTTAAGGACTACCCACTATTGTATAAACCGCAATATTATTTTGAACCTATAAAAGTTTCCAATGAATTAAAAAAATAATATCATTTTGTCATTTTGAATCTTTTTTTAGCAAAAATAAAATTTTGAACTAATTAGAGTAAGAATAGTTGTGCATCTGTATATATAAGTTGTGCATCTGTATATATATATATATATATATATATATTATATATATATATATATATAATATATATATATATATATATATATATATATATTAATATTTTAATTTTACTTACATATGATTCAACCTAAATATTTTAAATAAATTTTTAATTACAAATAATAGAGATAATTTTTCAAATCTAATATAATATAATCATCGAATCAAAAAAAAAAAATCAAATAATTGACTTCACGTGAAATCTATCCTATCTCATCATTCGAAATTCACTCCACTGCCATAGCTCTCAAATTTTCTCTTCTCCTAATAATTTGAATTTATATATTCTAATACTTTCTTTTCATATTTAGATTATTTACCGAGCATTGTATGTTACAATAGTTCTCTTCGTATTTTTATGTTGTTTCCTTTGATTATTTTGCCTTTCGAATTTTTATTTATGAATTACGAAATTGAGATTTATTGTTTACTTATTATTAATTTCATCTTCCTTTTTTTTTTTTTTTTTTTTTTTGGTGCAACAGATTTTTTTTTTTTTTTTTTTTTTGGTGCAACAGATCGAGTTGCCTACTTAGACTGAGAGCTTGCACCTTATGACCCAGACTGCTATTTGTTAGAGCTGGTGCGTGTCTTTCCTAATTCTCTCCAATGATACTCATGTACATGCTTCCAGTATTTACTTTTAAAGTTGGTGATGCAATTTTAAAGTTAGATCTTTGATATTTTGTTTTGTCTGCAGCCTCCATGACAAGGTAGATTTATTTAATCTTTGAAAATTTTGAACTTATATGCATATATTTTCTAATGTTTTTCTAACGTTGGTATGAATATTGTGCAAATGAATTAGAGAAGAAGAGAGAGAAGAAGATAAAACAATTTGTTTGTCTTCCAGTTGGCTAGGACAACTAGATGTTTAATATATTTTGTTTTACTTCTAATTGTTATTATTAATTGATTTTTTTTTAAAATGAATTAACTTAAAGAGTTTTTTTTTTTTTTTCCCTTTCGCGTTAAAAACTGTGTTTTTAGGTAATTTAATTTAAATAAATATAAAAATAATATTCTTTTTCATCGTGAGACACCAATAAATTAATGAAAGTAATTATATTTTCTATATAATAAAACTGTCGATATTTTTTATATACATTTTTAAACAAAATTTAATTTATATAACCGAGTCCATGACAGAGAACATGATTAAATTACTCAATTTTAAGTGATACTATTTTGTTTTTATTTTCTTTTAATGTTTTAAGTTGAATATAGTTTAATGATATTTAATATTTTTAGAACTTGCAAACTAAATGAGGAAAAAAAAAGAATTCGAACTTATAATACAAAAATAATATATTGAAATATCATTTGAATGCTTTTATTTCAATTTTTAATTCATATTGATGTAGTTGTATCGCTTCCTGCTTTCTTAATTATGGTTTCTTTATTTAACTAATTCAATGTTTTCTTTTTCTTATATTTGCTTGACTAATTTTTTTAATTTTTTGATTAGCCCATTTAAATATTTTTAAGTTTAATAATTAAGTAATGTGTTTATTTATTAGAGGTTTTGCTATTAATTGGTGTGTAAATATGACTGAGTTATTTGATATTGGACTCTCTGAATTCACAAAACTGTTAAGGTTGTTACTTTTATTATTGTAAAAAGTTTTCTATACGGTTAATATTTATTTAAATTATCATATAACTATGAATATTACTCTTTATAGAGTAAATTTTAATTAGTTTAACTTTGTGATTGTTAAGTCTTATTATGAGTTTAACTTTAGAAGTATAGTTTATCGTCAATATATTGACATGGTTATACTGTGTCTTTGAAAAGAGCATCAAGTTGAAACTTGATTAGTACGTGTAATGTTGGAGTATCTTTATTCTTATTCATCAATGATTGAACTAATGTATAAATATATCTCTGTACCTTACGGAAAAAACCTTGTAGCACCAAGAATTTTGCGAGTAATCTATTATGTCATCTGAAGTTACGAATTTTGCTAATATTGTATCTCTCTTTATACTAATAATAACATTTTTTTGGTGTTTTTAGTATTTATGTGCAAGATATTCATTTAATATGTGGTTAGTATAATATTTGTAATAATAATTTTCATATTTTTCAACTATTTAATAAGTGTTTAATTAATTTAATTTTAAAAATTTGAGTATTCAATAGAATAATATTTGTAATTTAAAATATTTAATCGATACAATTTTATAAATTAAAATGTTCAATAGATCAAAGTAAAAATTGCGGGTGCCGCAAGATTTTTTCTATAAAGTACAAGAGTAAATTTACGCATTCAACCATTGAACTTTATTTGGCATTTGTATGTACGAATAAACTCTACCAAAAGAAGGCTTGAGGCACTCAACCAGCCATAAAAATCCACTTGTGATATTGTAGAACTTTACAATTTTATTAACGGTTTTGCACACAATTTTATCATGTATAGCTTCCAAACATTATAGATTTTTTTGAAGAAATGTTTTTGAATATAAATGGCGATATTTATTTTAAAATATTAAATAATCGATCATATATAAGTGAAGATGAGGACAATTTATTATTATTTTAAGATTTTATCAAAAATACTTCCAATTAAGTTTCTAACATAAGTTACAAATCAAAAGCTTTCAAAATAGCATAATAATAGTTATTCAAAGGACTAATTATATTATAAGCATAGCTTGTTAGACATTCATCCAGCTAAGTGCCGATGTCTTCACAGCTTATTTTGCAACATAACACATTTCATTCGAGAACCACAAATATAACCAAAAAAGAGGGGAAAGGAAAGGCAGAAAAGTGAAACTGAATCTTACATGATGTGAGATAAAGTTGTACAAATCTCATGACATTTTATCAGTGAAAATTTAATACGTACAATCAAAGAAACAAGGCATCTTTTATAATTTCATCACGCCCCTCTGATCTGATCTGACCTGATATGAGATACAGTTAAATCTTTACAGATTACAAAAGCATTCACAGCTAAAGATGGTTGTCTTATTTCTCTTTTAGGGGCTTCTTTTTTGAACTCTAATTTATTCACAACACTACAGTCAACAACTAGTAAGTAGATGCAAATAACACTACCCTTTGCCAACTTTTAACCTCTCCATGAGAGTGCAAAATCATGTACTAAAGGAGCACCAGATCCAATGCAGTACCAGCGTTCATCAAGACTACCAAACTACCGCCTCGGTTCATTCAAGGTCTTCCCCTCAAAGAACTCACCCAACATCCTTTCTAGATCCTCGGCTGTGTACTTGATGTACTTTTGGGGATTCTTCCCACTCTCAACCAGAGGCCTGCCACACAAGGAAAAAAAAAAAAAAGAATAATAATACAAGAGCAATTAGCAGCTGGCTGTACACAATTGCAAACAGGAGCAGTATTGCATGAAATTGTTTTAGGCGTTTTTGTGCTGCAACTTTACTTAATATATGACCATAACAGTAAATAACAAAGAAAAATATCCTGGAATAACCAATAAATAACAAATGGTGTTACAAGGAGGCTTCTGAATAAATTTTTTAGCATGTTTGGATAATTTAGTTGGCTCAACAAAATTAAAATACGTGAAGGAAAAACTAAAACTTCACTGTAGTTTTTACTGCCCCCTTCCACTTGGAAAAAAAAAAAGAAATGAAAAGGAAAGGAAAACAAAGAAAGGAAGTTTTGCTATGTCAATCCAGGGACTTGCCTCTGCTTTTTAACACCTGCCTACACCAGTGGTAATAAATATAGGCTCACACGCCGGCGCGTGTACCGGCTGGCAGAAGCTTGTGGCAGCACGTGGACGACAACGGCAGGGCTTCCGGCAATGAGGTTGAGTGAATGAGGTCGCTGGCTACCAACGCTTCTTTTGAGATGAGTGGTGAGAACAAAAGAGCGCTAGGAATAGGGGGTTTTCTGTCTTCGGCAAAGAAGGGCTATGGCTGAAATTAGAGCAGCAGATCGGAGAAGAAGAAATCAGGCCAACCAGGCTCTGATACCATGTAGAAATTAGAGAGAATGTTTGAAGCTTTGCTTGATTATTACCTCAAGCATGTAGGGCTTGAATAGAAACAAGAGTCAGTACCAATATGGTAGTACAATCCTAAACATAATTACACAATCACAACTATAACTCTAGGATTTCTAGGACATATTCTAACAAATATGAATCTAAAGTTGCTGCGTTGAAGAATTTCATGATTTGTCCAAAATACTCTTTATCTCATAACTTATAGGAGCTTTGCAATCTCAATAGCAAAAGTTCTCCATGAGAATCAAGCATAGTTATTAAAGGCGCGCCTTACTTAGGGCATGAAGGCTGGAGCCTTAAACACTGAAAGGCGGGCGACATTGATGAGGCGAGAGCTTTTGGGCTTAGGCGCGCACCTTTGCACAGGCACAAGGCACAGAAAAGGCAGGCTTTTCTATTTTCTTCCCTGTAGTAGTGGCTAGGGTTTCCTTTTATGAGTATATGACCTAGCCGTCTCATCTATATATTTACGTTAAAAAAATATCTATATATTTACATTAAAAAAATAATAATGACGGAAGAAAAGAAGAAAAATCAACAGATTCTCTCTTTCCTCCATCAAAACTCAGTTATGTACCTCTTTCTTTCAATCTCTCTTGCTTCTGCTCCCTTCTCTAATTCAATATCTTCAAATATAAGGAGTTATGCTGCCAAATTTTTTCCTAATTTTGTTAGGATTTCAGCATAGCAACCGTAATGAGTGTGTTTGGCTACTGAGAAAAGGGAAGAAAATTAGAGAAAAGGAAAGAGTAAAGAAATGTTAAGGATTAGTTGTAAATAGAACTCTATTAGGAGTTAGATTCCTAATAGGTTTATAGTATCTTGTATCTGTATATATGTGTCCCTATTGATGAATCAAATTGAAGAAAGAATATTTTTCCACATTAAATTTACATGGTATCAGAGCCTGTGGCTCTTTAAACTTGAATTTTCCCGTTCGCGTTGCAAATTCCGGCGTTCCCTGAAAATCCGGTCACCGGATTCCCTGCGTGTGGTGGCTGTCAGTGTTGGTGACCACTCACTGTTTTGTCTCACCGCCTGCTCCAGCTGCCTACCAGTGTTCCCTCAAAATTCGGTCACCGAATTCCCTGCTGGTGGGCCTCAAGCGCCGATTTGCTTTTTGGCTACAGTACCACTTGCCGGCACGTGGCGGTGCGTCCGGCTGTTTTCGGCCATCGGAAATCACTTTCTAGCTTTGATTCTTGGTCAATAGTCTATTGAGGTGGTTGTTTTTCTGATCCGGCGAAATTTTAACCGGGGTGTTCTCAGTTCTGTCAATTTGGGGTTTCAGGTTACTTTTTCGCTCCTGTTTCCATTGAAAGGCCATTTTTTTTTGTCTCTTTTTGCGTTGCTAGTAGGGTGTTTAGGTTTTATTAATAATGGATCCTACACCTACAGATTCTACAACTATTATTACTGAATTGATCCTAGCAATGAATAAAATCACAGAACATAAATTGAAAGGAACTAATTATTTAGATTGGAGTAAGACAATTCGAATTTATTTGCAATTTGGGTTTCAGGTATTTCGGCTCCTGTTTCCATTGAAAGGCCAAATTTTTTTCTCTTTTGTCTCTTTTTGCGTTGCTAGTAGGGTGTTTAGGTTTTATTAATAATGGATCCTACACCTACAGATGCTACCAAACTATTATTAAATTGATCCTAAGCAAATGATAAAATCACAGAACATAAATTGAAAGGAAACTAATTATTTAGATTGGAGTAAGAAATTCGAATTTATTGGCGGAGTGTTGAGTGTTGAAAAAGATGATCATCTAATTGATGATCCACCAACTGATGACACTAGGCAACGTTGGCTCAGGGAAGATGCTAAGTTATTTTTACTGATTCACAATTCTATTGACAGTGAAGTGGTTGGGTTAATCAATAATTGTGAGTTTGTTAAAGAATTAATGGAATATCTTGAATTCTTGTACTCGGGAAAAGGTAATCTGTCTCGCATGCATGAGGTCTGCAAAGGATTTTATCGGGCCGACTAGCAAGATAAGCCCCTTACAACTTACTTCATGGAATTTAAGAAAATTTACGAGGAACTTAATGTTTTATTGCCTTTGCCTTTTAGTCCCGATGTTAAGGTTCAACAGACGCAGCGAGAACAAAGATGTTAAGGTTCAACAGACGCAGCGAGAACAAATGGTTGTGATGAGTTTTCTTGCAGGTCTTGCCCCAGTTTTTGAAACTGCCAAATCACAAGTTCTTTCAAGCAGTAACGTTACCTCGCTTTAGGAGACATTCGCTAGATTGCTACATACTGAAGGTTCTCATACGCCTTCCCCTTCTGATAATAGTGCCCTTGTGAGTTGTAATAAGGTAGCTAGGTAACCAAGAAACAGAGGAAGAGGAGGAAATAACCGTAGTAATGGACCAATCACTCGAGAGGCAAGCATTCTTATCTGCCATTATTGCCATGAACTGATAAATAAGCCACCAAGGGTAAATATGGCAACTCAAGACTATGCAGTTACTTATTCTGACAACAATATAACAATTTCTGCTACGGAGTATGCTGAGTTCTCTAGATACCGTTCTTCTAAGTCTATTAATTCCTAAATTGCTGCTACCGCCAATTCAGGTATTCCTCCTTCATGTCTTATGTCTACCTCATCAGAGTGGGTCATTGATTCTGGTTGCACCAATCATATGACAGGTAACCCTAGTCTCTTATCCTCATTAAAAGAATCTGAATAATTTAATCGTCATGTTACTCTAGCTGATAGGTCCAACTCTCCTGTCAAGTGTATTTTCACCGCCAATCACATCCCATCTCTTCCACTGTCTTCTGTTTTTCGTTTGCCTCGTTTTTCATTTAATCTACTTTCTGTTAGCAAAATTACTCGTATACTGAATTGTTGTGTCAAATTTTATCTTACATATTGTGTGTTTCAGGATCTTTGGACGAAGCGGATTATTGGTAGAGGACGTGAGTCTGGTGGCTTTTATCTTTTGGATGAACACATTTTGTTATCTCTGGCTTGTGCTGGTGCTCTATCTCCTCTTGAGGTTCATTGTCGTTTGGGTCATCCTTCATTGTCTACTTTAAAGAATTTGTGTCCGCAGTTTCAGTCATTGTCAATTTTAGAATGTGAATCTTATCAATTTGCCAAACGTCATCGTTTACCTTTAGTTCCTCGAGTCAATAAACGGGTTTCATCCCCTTTTGAGTTGGTTAATTCTGATTTTTGGGTCCCATGTCCTTTTATTTCTAAAACTGGTTTTCGGTATTTTGTAACTTTTGTAGATGATTATTCTCGTGTTACTTGGTTATTTTTAATGAAAACTCGTTCTAAGATATTCTCTATTTTCTATTCCTTTTGTGCTGAAATTAAAACTCAATTTAAAACCTCTGTTTCGCATATTGCATAGTGATAATGCTAAAGAATATCTATCTAGTTCCTTCCAATCTTATATGTCACAGAATAGGATTCTCCATCAATCATCTTGTGTTGATACTCCTCAAAATGGGGTTGCAGTGGGTTGCAGGAAGAAAAAATCGACATTCTTCTTAGGTTGCTAGGGCACTTTCTATTCCAAATGAAGGTCCCTAGGTTGCTAGGGCACTTCTATTCCAAATGAAGGTCCCTAAACATTTTTGGGCGGATGCTGTCTCTACTGCATGTTTTTTGATTAATCGCATGCCTTCTTATGTGCTTAATGGTGCAATTTCTTATAATGTCTTGTTTCCTTCTAAGCTTCTGCTCCCCATTGAACCTCGTATTTTGGTTGTACTTGTTTTGTTCGTGATATTCGTCCACAGGTTTTCAAATTAGATCCAAAGTCCCTTCATTGTGTTTTCCTTGGGTATTCTCGGCGTCCAAAAGGGTACTCGTTGATTCTCTCCCGATCTTGACCGTTATCTTATTTATGCAGATGTCACATTTTTTGAGAATATTCCATTTTTCCCTTCTTCTATGTATAAGAGAGGGGGAGGATGATAAGCTTTTAGTCTATCCTATCCAGCAATTTCATAACTCTCCTGCTCGTGCTCCTATTCCTGAACTTGCACCTATTCCTGCTCCAACATCTGCTGCTTCTATTCGCACTCCTGCACCAGCATCTACCCACCCTCGTTTTGAACAAGTTTATTCCAGGAGACCAGGAACTCTTGACTCACTTCCTCCACCTGCCGCTTCAACATTAGATCTGATTCACTCCACTCAACCTGAGCTTGTCCCATCCACGCCCTAGTCAGACCTTGATCTTCCCATTGCTCTTTGAAAAGGTAAACGCAAGTATACCTATCTTATTTCTTCTTTTGTAAGT